AGTGTCTGGCGGGGCTTCCTAGCCAGGTGGTGTTGCACTCACCTCTCCAGTGATGGTGAAGATGCCACCGCAGATGATCATCCCGTGTGGCTCGGGCAGTGCCTGGGCGGTGCCCTTGTCCCAGCGAGGCCGTCCCTCTCATGGCAAATCGCGGGATGGGGGAGCCGAGCACGCACCGAGATCGTCTTAGGTCACGTGTGCGTGCTCATCGCGTATCGGCGGGGGCTCCTGAGTCGACGCGTTTTTCTTCCCCAGTGGCGCTCGATGCAGTGTCGAGAAGTATGCTAGACCGCTCTTCCCCAATGGCGCTCGATGCAGTCTCGAAACATATGTCATAACGCTCGTCGGCTGACAGCGTCGAGAGGGGCATCAAAGGGGCTCATCACCAGCGTGAATGTTTCCAGTGGTGGTACTCTCATCAATTACCTGGCTTCGGGTCCGTCTGGTGCGACCGTGGCGGTGCAGGAGCATCACGGTCCCTCGACGCGTCCTGGGTCCTTGCAGAATCAGGCACAGGATTTAGGATATCATGGAGTTTGGAGTGCTGCAGTTCCCTCTGATGGCGGTGACACGTCGGGTGGAGTTGCTGTTCTCACTAACTCCCACGTCTCTGTTACGGCGGCCCCCTTCTTCGATGTAGAGGTGACGTCTGGTAAAGTTTGTGTGGCACATGTGCATTGGGGAATGCGGGGATTGTTGTGATGTTGGCCTGTTTCCACGACTCGGTGGGTCTCAATGAGGACAACGCCTACCTCCACTCGCACCTCCAGCACAAGCTCCAAGTCCTCACGCCTCTCAAGATGGATTGGATTTGCATGGAGATGTCAATCTGGCGTGAGATGTTCTCATGTATGGAAGGGCTCCAGGTTTTTCACGGGGTGCAGGTTGTGCCCCAGGACGCTTCGTGTGTCAAGGGCGACGGCGGCGTCATCGATTGCGGCATTGCGCGCAGCAGTCTGGCGGTGCGCTTCGGCCCACCATGGGTGGACCAGTCCTCGGAGTTGTACCCGCATCATCCTGTGCACTTCCCCTTGGCTGTGAAGGATTTGGAGGCGTGTATGCGTGTGCCTGTTGAGCCTCGTGGCTGGGGGTCAGTGGCGCCAGTGGGATGCTCGCCTTTCCCACGGGCTCGTGAGTGGGAGCGTGCCTAAGGTTCCGTGTTCGCTGCAGATCATCCGATGGGCCTGCGCAGAGCTTGGGACATGGTGCTTCGTGGGGTCGAGTGTGAGTTGTCCGGTCGATGGGGGCACAGTCGTGAGGAGCGAATCATGCAGGACGCGGGGGCCAAGTACACTTTCGTTTTACCAAGCTGGAGTGGAAGTCTCCAAGGCGCAGGAAGTACCAGAGCGACGTCGCGGTGGCGCTGCAGGTGGCGGCACGTTGGCTTAAGCATGGCCGATTTGCATGGGAAAAGATTTTTGAGCGGGCGCAGGGGCTCATGTCGGCCAGTGCTCTGTGTGGTGGCTCTGTGGCGCAGGCATTTAACTTGCCGGGTCAGTTTCTTCAGCTCAAACGTTTTGAAGATCAGGTGGGCGAGGCGCCCCTGGTGTCCTGAGTCATTCGGATCCTGAGTTATCGCGTTGGTGGTCCCAGACGCTTGGCCTCTGGGTCGACCCCAGGGCTGGAAACATCGCTAAGATTTTCTTGTTGTGGGCGGAGTAGGGGCGCGCGGAGTGTGCGACGTGTGCGAGCGTGCCAGGTTGTGCTTCGAGCGTTGGTTGATTAACTAACGATCCAGTGGGTGGGGCAAGACGTGTGGGGGGTTCGGAATCTGCGGCAAGCGTTAGCCAATTTTTAGGCTGATGTCGTGCCCCTCAGCATTGTTCTCCAGGATTCGGCCTCGGACAAATCAGGGTATGTCGTGGCTAGCCGTAAGGTTTTGCGTGCTGCAAAGCCATGGGCCCGTGCTGTTCGTTTTGATGGAAAACGGAGCATGAGGAGCCTGAGCCATGCGCTCTCTCGTGCAGGGATCGCAGGGTGCCGCTTGCCAGGCAGCGTCTAGGCAAGTTGCCAGAAGCGAATGAGGCGAGTCTACCCGCTGCAGAGAGCGGTGGGCGCGCTGGGATGCTCCCAAGGCGCCAGCCGCTGCATCGCTGTCTCAGGCGCCGAAGACACATGGCCTGGGAGGTGAATAGCTGCCGCGGGGGCCTTGGTTGCCACGAAGGGTCGTGGGGGGTCCCTTACGGTCTACGTCGCGTCTCAGGGCGACCCGTGGTTTGATCATATTCGTGATGCCACAGTGGCCCCAGTTCGTCACTATGCCAATGTGCAGTGTAATTTGAATGCAGACAGTGTTGTTAGGTCAAGCGAAGCGAAACGTTCACTTGGCAGCATGCCGCAGGACCACTCTTGGTCGTGTGTCTGTAATTGCTGCGGGCGGTCCGGTACATGGAGTCCTCCGCGCTCGTCAGATCGGATGAAGGGGCTAATTTTTCGGTGATTCAGGCCGATCCTCAGCACCTGGTAAGGCGCCTGCGGGCGGGCATACAGCGATGCCATAGTCGTGGGATAACATGTTTTTCTCTTCTGTCGCCCCGCTGCTGCTGAGTCGTGGCCCCGTGGGGCCCGAGCCTGCGGTGGGTCCGAGAGGGCCGCGCTTCTGGGTCCTGGGTCGGCGGGGGTGTGCTTTGGGCTCCGTGGTTCGACTGCTGGTGGCCGCGGGCCAAGCGGCCTTGGCGTGGCCTGGCCCCCGATCCGAGGTGTCGGGGTTGTGGGGCCCCTGCAGTCGGGGCGCTGAAGAAGGAACCCTTCTCGTTGGCGAGGGGCTCGGTGTTCCTTGAGATTGTTTTGCAGTTTGCGTTGGGTTTTCCATGGGAAATCGAAGTTTAGCTTTATGGGAAAAAGGGGCCTCGTTCCTTATTCAGGGTTCCTTAGGTCAACGCCCCGACTGTAGTGAGACCCGTGGGCGCCTGCTGCGAGGGTGCCCTGCGTTGCGTGAGCGGCTCCTCGAGCACGGGGAGGAGGTGCCGATTTCAGAGCTTCTGGCCAGCATTCGGGGTCCCTCTTTGGCCCAGGGCCCTCCTTGGCGCCGACGGGGCCACGGACTCTCTGAGTTGTTTGAGCTTTCGGTGGGGCTCCCGCTGGTGCCGACAAAAGTGCCCGACCCGCCGAGCGAGCCTCCCATGCTCTGGTGGTGGCGGGTTTTGGGGCTGGGATTCTGGCCCAGCCTCGCGGAGCAGTGTTGTTGTAATTGATGGGTTACAGTGGGGGCGCGCATCAAGAAACCATATGCTTTTCGTCAGGGTGTCCTGGGTTTCTTTGCTCCTCGCGCTGCGCGGCGACTTCCCGCGGTCGTTAAAGGAGCTGCTGCATTCAGGGTGCTCCGGGTTTCCCCTCCGGTGCACCTCGCGCGTCGGTTCTCAGGGTTGGGTTTCTTGCGAGGGTTTCTTGCGGCCGCGCCCGTACTGTAGGGCGCTGGAGCAGCCAACCCGAAATTCGTGGGCGCGGCTGGGCGTGCATCCAGCTGTCGGACTCGCGGGTCCCGCTGCGTGCCTGCCGTGGGCGCCCGGCGGGTCGCGGTCGGACGGCCGGCGAGGCCGAGCGCTTCGCAGTGCGTCGTGCGCTGGAAAGGATGCCGTCCGTGCAGGTGGTTGTCGCTGGCTTGCGTGGCCTGGCTAAGCAAGCTGAGGAGTGGAGCTCGGAGTGCGAAGGTCCCGGGGCCAGGCGCGCTGCCGTTTGGAGGCAGGTCCGCGCGGTCGTCCAGAAGCGTGGTGGGGTCCCGCCTGAGATCCACTGGTTCCCCGCCCATAGGGAGTCGTCTGATGCTGTTCTGGCCGCTCCGTCCTGTGGGCCACCGTTTCTTTCCGTCCCGGGGAATGTCTGGGCTGATTTCTTTGCTCAAACAGGTGCTGCCAATGTGTCTGTCGGCCAAGGCGCCGCTGACCTGTTCAGATTTGCATTCAAGGAAGGGCAGGAGTTTTCTAGGTATCTGGCTTGGGCGGGCAGGCGTGCCATCGAGTTCGGGTTGGGGTCGGCTGAGCCCGTCGGTCGTCGTTTCAAGCCGCCGCCCTCCGAGCCCAGACTAGGTGGCCTGGTCTCGAGAGCGGAGCGGCCCGCCTGCGAGGTCTGGCGTGGCCCCAGCCGAGGAGGGTGGAGGTGCAGGGCCTGTGGGGGTTGAACGAGGACGCCCGCGGGGATGCGGGCCCCTGGCTCCCCCTTGGCGCCCTGCCAGCCCCGCGCAGCTGCAGCGCTGGCAGGCGGCCCGCGCCGTCTCCCGCTTGCCGCGTGAGGATCAGTGGCTCGTCGCCGAGGATGCCGAAGTGGCGCTGGAGGCGGCCGCGAGGCTGCTCCAGGGTCAGGGCCTGGGGTCGGAGAGCCTGGCGGGATCTCCTGGGGAACTGGGCGTCGGCCAGGACGGCTCCGAGGAGCTGGCTCCCGAGGCCGATTTGGGTGCGGACACGTCTTGGGGCGTGTCCCTTCCCGTGGCGGGTACTTAGGTCGTCGGTGGGCTCGGCGGAGCGGTGCCCCGACTCGTGGGACCTCTTCCACCGTCTCGGCCATCAGATGGCCGAGAGGTCGGTGCGTTCGCCTTCTGTGTACGTTGTGCGTGTCGCGTCGGGGAGTCAGGTCGGGCGTCGGCGAGTCAGGTCGGGCGTCGGCTCTTAAGCGGCCTTGTCGAGGCCCTGCGGAGATCCCTAACACCCTCAGCAAGACAAAAAAGACCCGCCTCAAACGGTTGTGGCGTGGGGGGCCGCTTCGGTTCCGGCTGGGGTTCCTGGGCCCTGACCGTTTTTAGTCGGGGACACTCCGTAGTTCTGTCTGATGTAGTGAGGTATCGGGCGGCCTGGACTCATCTTCTAGTGGCGTGTCCCCCTTCTCCTTCTCTTCCTCCTCCTCCTCATATCCTCCTCCTCCTCCTCCTCTCCACCCTCCACTCTCCTGCCTCTTCCTCTGACGACGACGGCGGGCGGAACACGTCGCCCGGGAGGCGTCGTCAAGTACGTCGCTCACGACGCCCGCAAGCAGGGCTTCGAGTTCACCTGGCGGCTCCGCGACTTCGGGCGGGCCGCTGGGCCCGTACGTCCGCAGGGCCGACTTGCTCAATCCTTCTTGTTTGTCTGTTGTTGTTTTATTCCCTCCCACGGTTTCGGCTCTTTATCTTTCCGGGCGTTGGGGCCATCAGAAATGAGGGGGAAACGACGGAGGAGGAGGAGGACGAGGAGGAGGAGGAGGAAGCACAAGATGAACACCATTCATAATTTTACCACTCATACTGATAATGGTAATACTACGAATCATAATAATACTCATGCTAATGATACTCATAACAATAACAACATTATACTACGAATGAAGTCAATAGCACTAGTATTAGTAATACTACGATTCGCACTGTTACTAATACTATTGAACATATTAATCGTATGAATAAGAAGAGTACTAACACTACTAAGCAAAAGGCGAATCCTACTACTACTGCTACTGCTACTGCTACTGCTACTGCTACTGCTACTGCTACTGCTACTGCTACTACTGCTACTACTGCTACTACTACTACTACTACTACTACTACTACTACTACTACTACTACTACTACTACTACTACTACTACTACTACTACTACTACTACTACTACTACTACTACTACTACTACTACTACTACTACTACTACTACTACTACTACTACTACTACTATTACTACTACTACTACGACTACTACTACGACTACTACTACGACTACTACTACGACTACTACTACTACTACTACTACTACTACTATTACGAATAAGTATAAACACACATTATTATTAATACTAGTAAGAAGAGGCGGATGAGGAGGAGGAGAAGGAGGCGGAGGAGTCGGAGTCGGAGGAGGAGGAGGAGGAGGATTACTAATACTATTAATACTAAAAAGAAGAATCATTCTACGAAGAAGCAGAACACGACTAATACGAAGACCACTGATACGCATACCTCGAATAACAGTAACACTACTAATACTAATACGCCAAACATTAATGATGATAGTACTAAGCATACTGCTGCTACTACCAATGCTAGGAAGCAGCCTATCAATACTACTACGAAGAAAAATAAGACCAATACCAATACTACTACGATTGAAACTAATAGTAATTATACTATGACGAAACATGCCAATCATAAATCATACTAGGCACACTAATACTTCTCATACTATCCATACTGATGCTGCTAAGAAGGAGAGTATTACTATTCTTATGACTTATCGGAATAATACTACTGAGCATACGAAGACCAGTAATACTAAGATGAAGAGGAGGAGGGGGAGGAGGAGGATGAGGAGGAAGAGGAGGTGGAGTGGGGATGTGGTTAGGGGTGGTGGATGGGGTCAGAAAAGATACAGACAGAGGGAAAAAAAACGCCAAATTTTACTTGTGCTCTACATAAGGGATCCGGGGGTTTGGTTGTTCAAGTGGGGGTCCATCGGAAACGCCAGCGCTTGGTAGGCTTCTTCGTTAAAACGAACCAATAAAAAAAACAAGCGTTGATAATGACGAACGCCGAAAATGAAGCATATTCACACTGTTTGCGTTCCCACCCGAAAATTTTGAGAGTCGGTAATATACGTATGGCTTGAAAACAATGTGGTGGTTTGAACGTCTTGTGCCGATGTTTGCGTCGACTCGTGCATTGGAGTTGTTATGTTAGAGAGGTAATCGCCTGGGTGTCCCGCAAGGGTCGGCGGCATGCGTAGGCAACGGCGTCGAGGTTTTAGGAGGGGCACGACATGAAAACGTGGACAAATACTGTGAACTAGACGGGGTTTTCTTCAAGAAAACCCCGTCTAGTTCACAGTATTTGTTTGCGTTTTGCCCGTCGGGGCCAGGCATTGCCAACAAATCCAGTGTCCCTCATCACCCGAATTCGATCGGGGCGTTTGTTCGTCGATTGCTCGCAGCTGTTATGGCTTCCAGTTTGCCTTTCATTTTTGTTGCACGAAGTGCACAATGCAAGTGAGGTTCGAGATCACATCTAACTTTCACAGATATTGCAGTTTATTGAAGACGGAGAATGCTAGAGGTTTCTTGGCCGTCATTCCGAAGCACTCCGCCATGTGTTCGTGTGTGTACGACATACTGTTTGCTCTCAACGCCGTGCATGGTCAACTCAGATGTGTTATCAGAGACACGTGCTCAAATATTGCTCAATCTATGTATGACGTGGGCCACGTTGTTCGGGCGCTTGGGTTACTCGGAATCGGTCTTCGCCCAGAATATGACAACACATGGAAAGGCGTTGACAAGTTGATAGTTTTTCGTATGAAGATGGCTTTGTCTGGAAAACCTCGGAGCCCCGAAGGGGCCATCGTGCTGCAAGAACCTGCCCCGACCACTGGCCCGACCACCACGAAGACCCCTACTACTTTCATGGCGCTGAGGCAGATTGTCCAGACAATGACTAAAGATAACATGAGGAAGGTCATCATCGGCCAGGTCCGGAAGCAGGAAAAAACATCAGCGGCAGTTGTCAAGTACAAAGCAGCCAACCGGGGTCATAAAAAAGTTGTTTCGAAGCTCAGTGCAGAGAATGCAAAGCTCAAGTCTGAGATTGCTAACCTCAAGGAAGATAACAAGAAATTGCTAGAACTTTCCAAATACGTCAAAGTGGAAGATAATAGAGTTCGCCTTTGTTTACAGACGTCATCGATGTACCGTTTGGCCGTGAAGTGCACTGCGGGATATATTGGGACACAGGCGGTGCTCAAAATATTAGATCAGTCGATTCACAGGAACACTGGTGTTTCGTGCGAGAAGCTATTGCATGGCAGTTTCTGGGCCCGCTCCCGCATGTTCTACCGCCAGCTGTACGAGCGCCTGGCCGAGAGCTTCCGCTTAGCTCCTGGTTCTGGTCACCAGGACCACCCGCCACAAATGCTGCTGCTGCTGATCATCTCTCTCCATACTCCCCCACTTCCTCATACTCATACCCCCCATGACTCCTGCTCCTCTTGCTCGTGCCCGGCTGCCCCAGGCTGCCCCATCTCATCCCCCGACCTCCTCGGCCTGGTCAGTTTCCGCAGAGAGGCTGAGGCGAGGGAGGGAATGAACGGAACACGGTGTTCCGTTCATTCCCTCCCTCGCCTCAGCCTCTCTGCGGGAGTGCGGGGGCGGGCCGAGTGGGAACGAGTGCCGCTTCGCTCGCCCATAGGGGTTCACATACGAGATCCACGCGGTTCGCGGGGACGGCACGAACTCCAGTGCCCTGAGGACCGCGCCGAATCATTCCTCCTCTCCCTCCATCTCCTCGACTCCTCGTCCACTTCCCCCTCCCCCTCCCCCTCCCCCTCCTCCTCCTCCTCCTCCTCCTCCTCCTCCTCCTCCTCCTCCTCCTCCTCCTCCTCCTCATCATCTCATCCTCCTCCACTGGCTCCACGGTCCACGGTGTCAAAACTACCGAGGCCGCGTTTATTACTTACACCACCCCCCGACGATCCCAGGATCCTCCTCCTCCTCCTCCTCCTCCTCCTCCTCCTCCTCTGGTTGCGGCTATGTCGTAGGCTCGTCAATTCGTCAATCGTAGGAGTAAGAAGCTGTTCGTTACCGACGTCGTCACGATTGCCTCCTATGGCGACAACTACGATGACGAAGTCGGGAAACTATCATATCCCGATATTGCATTCATCCCAGCCGTGTTCGACGCCGACGCGGCCGCCGACCTTTACGAAAGGCAGCTGCGGGGGTTGGGCATCGCCACCTGGTCGGACCGGGCTCACACGAGCCTTTTTCAGGATGGAGGCGGGCCCGAACCCTGGACGTCAGAGTGGCCCCCCAGGGAGTGAGTTTCTGGCTTGCGGGGATCGGCTGGGATGGATGGGAGGCCACCTCTCCTCCGTCCTGGCCGTTCCCGCGAGCCAGAAACCAGCCTCCGAAAGTTTATGATAATGTCGTTTCTTCTTCCTTGATTTCTTCTCCCCCCTCCCAATGGGCCCAATGGGGCCCTGGGTGGTCCTGGAGTCCTGGCCCCCGCTTCCCCCCCAGACGGGCCTCGAAACCACGCGCCATCCCCGGCCATCCCCCGGGTCCTGGTCCCCAGACTTCTCCCCTGATAAGAGCGGCGGGGGGTGCGCGCGGCGTGCGCGCGTGCGCCGCTGCCCGCAGGACGCCGTCGCCAGGGTCAGCGAGGCGGCGCGCCGTGCCGCTGGGCCCGCAGCTCACATCAGGGTCTTCTCCTTCGGCACGGACCAGGGGGGAGACGAGCAGGGCGCCAGGCGGGTGATCGAACAGTGTGCCGCTTCAGATTTCAAGCTATGGGTGATATGGATGTATTGTCTCATGCACCAGGTCCATCTTATTGTGAAACGCCAGCTGTCTGTTCTCAACGAATACTTTAGCCAGCTCTGCAAGCTCAGCAATACTTGGCGCTCGGCAGGCTACGCGCACAAACTATACACAGCGTGGGAGAGTACGACTAACGTGGACAGGGCAAAGCAAGTTGCGAGTTCATTACCTCCCCGCCCCTTGAGAGGGAGGTGGGGCAGCGTTCATAAGTGCGAGCAGCACTTCATCCGTTGCGGGCCTGAAGAGACACGACGAGCATACCTCTGCGCTTTCTCCAACCATGCTGTTTCTGGGGACAAGGACGAGAAGGGGGCGCTGGTGGAGGATCCGGACGGAGAGTCGTATTCAGAGATGCGTTCCAGGTGTCTTCCTGCCTTCCTCCTCCCTCCACTCCTCCACTCCTTCACTCCTCTTCCTCCTCAGGACTCCTCCCCGACTCCTCCCCCCCCTCGCCTCGCCGCACCTCCTCCGCCTTCACAGGTGGGTGCGAGATTCCTGCATGGCCGTCGGCTCGGACAAATTCTGGCGCACGCTCTTCACGGCGCACGTTTCCAGGATGCCCATCATGCATGCCTTCTTCTGGCTTGAGAAGAAGGGCGCCGAGAAGGCCAGCACCTCTATTCCCGACCTACTCTCGCGCCGCGCATCGAAGCGGACGGCGATTCAAGAGCTCGTATATTACAAGGCTATAGAAATATCGGAGGAGTTCAACGACCTCTTGGACACGAGTAACGATAGCT